CTTTACCAAATCAGATTTTGATAAATTGTATAAAAATTAAACAACTGAATAGACTAGATAAAACATTGAATTAGACCACTGATACCCACGAGAAGTTTTCTAAATTCCTAGTTGATAAAAATAGAAACAAATTCTTCAAATAGAGATTATACAAAATCATGAATATTATTTAGGGAATCAATTAAAATATAAAAATTACGTACAATTTTAATAGGTATATGCCGAATGACGCCGCTGTTTAATTCAGGCACGCTTGTGTTGTCACAATTGTCGTCTTGGTCACTGCAAACATAGAAAAACAATGCTTTACAATATTTTATCCATAAATTGTCATTAATTGGTTCAAATATAAAAGATCTGGGTGTGTGATAAGTGTGGCAGAGCCATGCTTCGGCACGAATGGGCCGGCTAGACCGGAGTGATACCACGGCCGAGCAGAAAAACGACGTGAAGCAACGTTTGCGTTGTGTTTCGTCGTGTGAGTGAGGTTACCGGAGGGAAGCTCAATTACCCTCCCCTTCCCTAATATCCCCAATTCCTAAATCCCCAAAAGGCGGGTAACGCACTTGTAACGCCTCTGGTGTTCCAGGTGTCCATGGGCGACGCCGATTGCTTACCATCAGGTGATCCGTCTGCTCGTTCACCGACTTATGCCATCAAAAAAAAGATAAGAGAAACAGAAAAATTAACTATCTTACAATAAGTGGGCCAATTTCTAGATCTAGTAGTTTTCTTATTTAGATAACAGACGAGCATGCATTAAAAAACTGATGACTGTTGATGAAGCGAAAGAGGTATGTAAGAATCGTAGCAATTGGCATTCTACTCTGTCTACTCCATGGGAGACAGGCGTGAGGTTATATATACATATAACATAACATCACGCCTTTTATCCCCGAAGGGGTAGGCAGAGGTGCATTACGGCACTTAATGCCACTTTACAATGTAAAACCCACTTTTCACTATTTATGTTATGAGTCCCATGTAATAGGTGAGCCTATTGCCATATACTGGGCACACATCCAGACTCCGTGCTACTACTGAGATTTTTTTTAAAAACCCAGTAATTCTTTGCCCGACCTGGGAATCGAACTCGAGACCCCTTGCCGTACTTGCGATCACTCAACCAATGAGGCAATAGGTACATATTATATCCTTTGTTATATATATATATAGATATATGTATATTCTTTGTTATTGCATCCGATGATCAGTATTATCAATGTGAGTGACATCCGCAATAATATGTTGTTTTGAAACCCGCATTGGTAATTACCAAGTTGGTTGAAATAAATTTGCTAGCTTTATCTACAGTACAGTTATTCGTCTCACCTCATAGACTGGTCAGCCTCGTAGTTGGTGGTGTTGTTCTCCGCGACCATGCTGTCTTCACACATGGTCTCCTCTAGCGTTGTGTTTGCAGGAAGCGAGGGATCTGTCTGAACTGGTAACGTTGGTTCCTCTGACCTGGAAGAATTAAATTTTTTTGACTGTACGTTTGGTGCGGTGGCTGGGCAACCGGCGATTCCCGCACGGAATAACACTTTGTGTGATCCACAGATTGTTTTTTCGGGTCTGGGTGTCATTGTGTATGTGAACTTGTATGTTTGTAAACGCACCCACGACACAGGAGAAAATCCTAATGTGGGACAATGATTTAAAAAAAAAATAGATTGGGGTAAATAAAGTGTTTTTTTTGGTTTGGTATCTACTAGCTACGAACATGAAAACTTGGAAACAATGAAGTTCGAAGCGTCCCGAGGACATGAATAACTGTCGGTAGTTAATTAGTTAAGTAGCGTAGAAAAATTTTCTTTTTTCTTCTTCTTTGGCAACCGAGTCTCCAACATGGTGTTGTCGACTATACTGCCAGTGTCAAGTAGAAAGCGTAGAAGCGTAGAAAAGTTATTGTGCCTTACTACACTATAAATAGATAACTTACCTGTCTTTCCGATGTGGAAACAGAGAGTACACATGTCTCGCTAGGTCTGGGTGCCCGTGCAGAGTGCCAAGTATCCCAGAACATATTTCGCAGGCAGTCGACAAGCTCTTTACAAAGACTTTGTTTATCTCCGTCAATATCGTATGTCTTGTCCCCAAGTCTGCTACTTGCTCCTAAAAAATAATATTGTCAGTTGAATAAAATATATACTGTTGAATTTATTGTAATATACATTTTTTGAGGATGCAACCGATATTCATGTGTTATGAGTCCCCGTGTAACTTGAAACTAGTTGAGCACCTTCGAATAGTTTAGTCAATTTAATGTCAGTTGATAAAAAATATTTTATGAAGTATTTTAAAACTATGAAATGACTTTTAAATATATTTATTTTGCGACAAGCTCGCCACAACCTCCCAATACCGCTGCTCCTGTAAGCCAGGATCTACAGTAGATACAACAATGAAAACACCGGAACACTGAATTCCGGCGCGTCTCAGGGACATGAATAACTGTCTTGGTTCCCGCAACGAAATAATTCAGAAAATATTATAAGAGGAGAATATAGGACAAAAAATACGATAGTTTAGTATGATTT